AGGCTGTTCTGAGGATTAAATGGGACAGCATATGGAGGCCTCAACGTGATGCCTTGTATCCAGTAAGCAATAAGTGGGCATTCCCTTTCCTGTCTCCATTTCCTGCTTTCTCTCTGCAGTAAAAAAGTTGAAAGATACACTCCAGTATGATGGGACATCAAGTTGAGCTATAAACAATGGCTCCATGTGAAATTCTATACAATTCTGCTCTGTTGTTTTATGTAAAACTTGATTGCTATTTCACATGTGGGATAGTTTCTTTTTCCTTGTTATTGCAAGTCAGATGCAGGCCCGAAATTTGTGACTAGAAGAGTTCCACACTGCTACTATGGACCCCAACAGAAAAGCAAAATCTCTTTTGATTTGAATACTGAACCCCATTCCTTTAACACTCCAAGCTACTGAGAAGAGATAACTACCACTAGCTATCCTTGAGGATGTCAATGATTCTGGTCAATTTTGCCATGTATTAAGTGTGGTCTAACTGATCAGTACCCACCGATCCAGAAATCTCTCCAGGAGTCATTTTCATTCTTTCAGAAAACAAGGGACACTGAGGCTGCTGTTCAAAAGGAAGTAATAGATACTGTTTTAACATTGATGCTTACAAAAACAGTTCTGATTGCTTTTTGGACAAGGTAGATCAATCACTGCTAGTTCCCCACCCAACCAAGTCAAGGCCTATCCTATAAGAGCAGGTAACTCTTCTTCCCCCCAGAAAAAGTCCTTTCCATATTAGGCCAGTTCCAAGAGCAGTCATTCAATTGAATAAAAATCAACCTCTCTATAACTGTATTGTTTAGACCCGATTCTTTTCTCTGGAGCTACACAGATAAAGTCTGACCCCTGGAAGCTATCATGTTTCCCCCAATCCCTTCCTCACCCATGGGACAAAGAGTCCAGATCCTTGATTCTTACTTGAAGAATGTAGACGGGAACAATCACAGAGCAGAAACTAAACAGTGTCTTAAGAATGGAGACTACTTCTCCTAGAGAAGTACTTTTGGGAATATTATTGCTGAGGATGGTTACTTGCATGTTCCTATCCCCACTGAGGACAAAAAGAAGAAATTGTGGGCATAAGGCAGGGTTTCTAATCTGTTGATGTTGACAGACAAATAAAGGACTCTATGGTTCTTCATGGTGAGTTTTTAGCGTTAGGCCTCTCTATGTCTCTCCCAGAAAGGGAGCTAGTACTTGATCACGGAACTCTGTTTTCATGGAGCATTTTATGGCTACTAGCATTTTGCGAAACACATCTTAGGAAATTATGGTCTCAGATATGCTGTGGGGACTTAGATGTTTGAAATAACTTCCTGATTGGTTATTGTTAGATCCTGGAACTGGTGGCCAGGGAACACTATGAAGTTTCCTTCCTTGGAGGTTTGGTAGACTCTTCCACCCTTCCTCCCTCCCCTCTCCCCTCCTCTCTACTTTTGATATTAGCATTAGGCACCCACTTGCCTGGGAGTGTTGAGATGTAGGCCTGGGACATAGGGAATCTGGAAGTCTAGATCCTTCCCATCCCCATGATTCTATTTTTATGGATCCAATTGTGGTGTGTTCCACGGAAGGTACAGCCTAGCTGGGACAGGAGGTAACTGAGGGTTTTGGCTAAGAGGAGAGGGGGCTAGAGATGGGAAAAGTTGATGCAATTATTTTTGTCAGGAATTGGAACCAAAGCAGCAGGAGAGAGTAAGTTTTAAGACTCTCTGGCAAAGTAACTTCCTAATCTGTCACTGAGTATGTGTAAAAAAGTGATTAGTGGGTCTCTATATTTATCATGATTACTCACAAATATGTAATTTGCATAATATATACAGCACATTAAGTACTATGTCACCTTATATAATGTGCATATGTATAATGTATATGCATGTTATGTAACGCCAGTCTGGAGGCTCTTCCAGATTCTGCCAAGTATTTCCTAATTTATTTGGCAATTTTAACATATCTTTTCCATCTGTGGAAAGAACTATCTTGAGAGGAGCTGGTCTCTGACCTGAAATATAATCATTCTACTAAGTCTATCTCCATTCTCAACTCACTGGAGGAAATCCACAAAGACCAAGCCATAATGAGATGCAACTCTTAGCTCAACAGTCCAGGGACAACACAATGTATTGAAGATTTTCTGTTTCATTATTTTTATTGCTGGTAGGGTAGAACTGTGGGGGCAGGTGAGAACATGTCTGTGGCATGGTCACAATTAGAATAAGATGAAGACTAAAGGACTGGATTTTGCCCTGCTTGCCTAACTGTGTGACTTTGAGAAGTCACTGAACCCTCATTAAGCTTAATTTTTCTCAGTATTAAGATCGGGAGGGTAACACATTCTCTGTCAGCCTCTAAGGTTGCTGGGAAGATCACTAAGATGAGGTACTCTACAGGAAAAAGCCATGGTCACAGTAGTTAAGGAATGAATTGCAACAGCACATCAAACAACACTGGACTTACCAAGCTGGAAGTGCAATTCCACTGGTGTATTATACTGTGTGGTTCTAAGGAGGCCTTGGGACATGTCTCTCAAGCAACACTGCAAGTCTTATGCACTGGACTAGAGCAGGCCACGGCCACTCTGACTTGTGAATCACTGAGACTCAGTTCCACCTGTTGACAGTGCTATGTTTCGACAGCCTCAATCTTGGGGGATCAGACATGCAAAAATGTCTGTAAATGTCTCAGAATTAGTGAGCCCACACCTGCCTTTGTTTCGAAATCAAGTGGCTTCCAAGATAGTACCTGTTGTTATTCTGGAGCTTGCTGGTCCATCCCATCACCAAGGATCCCATCATTCAAGACATTCTCCAGACGGCCTGGTTTTCCCCTCACCCACTGTTTTGCACTATTAGGTCCAGCAGGATGGTCCTAGATGACTGCTTCCTTCACAGTTAGGATCAGTGTGTACACACAGTCTTAATTTCCCTTCCTTGTGCAAAGCTCCTGACCCAGTGCAAGATTAGAGACAGCTCAGTGGAGCAATGTCTAGTGGGCCCACGTTTCCTCTTAAGAAATCTCAGAGGGGATGGCGGTCCAGTGGAGTGAAGGCGCCAAGGCAAATGTTTCTGTCTAGTAATGAAGTTCTACACAGACTTGCCCTCAGGAAAGGAGGGTGATGCCGGCACCAGCTGCAGGAAGCCCATTGGCCTCTGCCAAGACCCCTCTGGGTACTGGCTGGGAGCACCTTGAAGAAGGTGCCTCAGTCCATCTTGTGAGTCTCCACTGAGGTCATCCCTGCAGCCAGAGGTGTTTCCAGACTAGGAGGCCATGAGGACCATGATGAGTTGACACGTGATAGAGTTTAATTTGATGATCTGTCTAGTGCCTTCAACCCAGACCAACTTCTTACCAGTTCAGGCCAGATAGAATCTCCGGGAAGCATCACGAGGCCCCTATTTTCTCATGTGAGCCTGTCCCGTCCTCACATGGGCTACATGTTCATTCTTCCCTGGCAACCTGGACTCGAATGGAATCATTTCCCAGTGACCAGAAATGACCCTATTCTAAGACGTGCAGGTTCTTTTCCCTAATAAATATCCTCTTAGTGGCACTTATTCTCAAACCACATCAGCTAAGACACCACGGACAAGTCTCTTAACTTTTCAGAGACTCGGTGCCTTTATCTGACAAATGGGAGAGTAAATTCTGTCCAGCGTATCTTTCATGGTTGTTTTGAGAATCCAGAATAGGAATTCTCAGTCTCTTTACAATAAGAAGCTACTTTCACTTCCCTTAAATCTCATGATCACCATGGGGAAATGTGTCTTGACCATGAAATGGTGGAATGGGGGAGTGAAAACTTTCTTTTTCCTTCCCACTTTTCTGTTCCTATTCTACATATTTTTTTTTTTTCAGTCAGGAGAAGTCCATCAGTAAATAAATATTTATATATATATAAATATATATGCTACATATATGTACACACACATTAGATCATCAGAAGGGCCTTCAGCTCACACTCTGGGAGTGGTAGGTGCAAAGAGGAAGGTGGGAGCCACCTGATGGTTTGTCTCCTGGTCTTCTCAGCAAAGGGTCCTTCCTTCTCATCTTCTCTGCCTTCAGGAAATAGTCTGCCACCAGGGCTTGGAACTCAAACAGGAAACACGCTTTGGCTTGAAAAAGAAAGAAGCTGGGGGTGGTTTTTTTTTCTTCCCTTTTTACACAATATTATGACACCAATTTGAAAAATAAATCCCAGTTTCTCTGCTTTCCCTCCCAGGTGTTCACAGAACTAAGAAAATAAATACCACATCTAAGGTGTGCTGTACAGGCAGCTCTGGGGGCTCTTGGAGCCGTCTCCAAACAAACACACAGCCACCAGGAGAAGGCTTTGGGAAAATAACAAGTGCCCACTGACAGTGTGGAGAACCAAGAATGGAAACACAGCTTTCCACAGCCTTTCTGCCTCCTCAGCAAGTTCAGGCAGAAGTTGCTGCTTGAAGGACAACTAAGAAACCAACGTGCGCTTGCTGAGCCCTGCCAAGGGTTATGCTTTGAGAGTTGGAGGCCGTTTGTCTCTGTACAGAGGGACCTTTGTGTAAGTTCTCTGGAATGGGAGCGCTTTCCCTTGGCCACATCCGATCTCACCATAGGCAGGAAACCTGCAGCCTGCTTCCTTGTGAGCGTCCATGAGGGACCTTGCAAGACTGGTGGGAAGAAAGGGGGACTTCTCCTTCAGTCTCAGAAAGTCCCACTCAAGGCCTTCTGGGAATGTGGAGGTTGCTGTAAGAGCCAACATCACCCTGGTGGGCCCTGGGTCCATTCAAAATTTTCTGGGGGTCCTGGCTCTGTTGGGGTGTGTCCTTTGTTGAAGAAGAGAGAATGAACGTACGGGAAGATGAAGATTTCTTCCTGAAGGGTGGCTTTGCTTCCACTGGTTAGAGATGAGTGTGCGTGTGTGCATGTGCGTGTGCGTGTGTGTGTGTGTGTGTGTGTGTGTGTGTGTATGTGTTACAGTTTCTTATTTTCTCTCTTGGTTTAACTGGCATTTGGCACGTTGTTTAGTCTTTTGAACGGCTCTTCCTCCTCAGTGAAAAGAAGCTGCTCTTCTGGGGAGGCCCCATCATCATAGGCGCTTGATTCTTGTGAGTAATTTTAATCTAAAAGCAAAGAGGCATAAATGAATTAGTGACATGCAAATCCCAGTAGCCTATGAGAGAGTAAGTCGCAGAGGGAGGAAGGAAGGCCAGCTTTGGGTTGGAAGGAGCCCCATGCAGAAAGGACGACTGTCCTTGAACAGCTTCAAAATTGGCAACTGGACCCTCACTGGGCCTGGAGTTTGGCACTGCTGGAAGTGAGGGGCGGAAACACTGGGGAGAGACAGGTGTGAGCTTCCCACGTGGTGATCAGCTCGCACCTGTCTTGTGTCCTTGCTATTCATAGACTCTCAAAATGTCACAGCCGGAGGAGACCTCATGGTCCATCTCATTCAACCTTTCTGCAGGACAGACAAAGGAATGGAGGCCTGAGGCTCCCTTGAGCCTTGGATTAGCCTGGGGTCACACAGAGAGGGCAGAACAGCTAGAGCCCAGTTCTTCAGATTCCTAGCTTCCTCTGCTCCTGGCCCTTCCAGTCTAGGCACTGCAGAAATGTCAACTGGTAACTCATAGCCTAGAGGCTTCATTCCGACATCTGACCCAAGCAACATCATGTGGAAAGTTTCAAGTGAGTCCCTTAGGTGCTTCCTCTTTTCTCAGCTTTCCAGGAAAAAACCAACTTTCATTTTAAAAGCTTTTTTTTTTTTTTTTTTAATTTTAGGTTTCTTTTTTCTTTTTTTCTTTTTCCTCCTGCAAACTTTAAGTCAATGGGAAGTGAAAGACAGACACTGGTGAATTCTCATTTTTGCCTTTCTTCCCAACCTTATCCTCAGGGCATGGCTTCAGAACGTTAAATCCCTATTTGAATGTGGCCTGATGATGCTGCACATTACTGATCTGCATTATCAGTCCATCAGCATTTATCATGTGTGACACATGTCCAGGGTGGGAAGATGATATGGGAACAAGAGGCACTTAGGATTCAACGACCTGGGTTTGGGTCCCAGATCTCCTGCTTCTTTCTTTGCTGTGAGACTCTGGACGAATCGTTTAACCTTCAAAGCCATGCTTGCTGAACTATACAATGAAGGTAGTAACGTTTGTCCCATTTTCCTCGCAAAGTTGCTGTGAAGATCAAATGGGGGACCGTCAACGAAATCCCACTTTAAGCTGTAAAATGGAATGTAATGCTTAAATAATCGTTATCTTACACTGGAGGAGAAAGATGTATATCAAAAGAAGCAATCTAGGAGCTCATTCTCGTCGTGTCTACATCATTGGAACTGACGGTGTGACCACAGATAACCAGAGAAGAATTCTTGCAGACAGAGACCCATCAATGAGTTTCAATTAATGTAGGATAGACCAAGTGGTGTCAAAAAGAAGTTAGGTAAGGACCGAGAAGAGTCTGAAGGGAGCAACTGAGAAGGAATTTTAAGATTTGAAAGGAAGGGAAGGAAAATGTGTTGGTGAAAAGAGAAAGGGAAGGCACTGGATGAATGAATGACCTCGTTGAGTGCGGGGCAACGGATGAGAAGGGAGGTCAGGGACACAGGTGGGGCAGTTACTCCAGGGCTTTAAAGGGGAGGGGGCAGAGGTTGGGTGTAATGTGAGGTAACAGGGAACCATGATAACTTTTAAGCTGGAGAATAACATGAGGAAGAAAAGAGTTCCAGGGAAATTATTCTACAGCTGTTGTCAGGGCAAGTTGGAGTGGGGGAGACTCTGGCTAAAAGGGTACTACTGCAAGCCAGGTTTAAATTTATAAGTCCCCAGGATATGGAAAGACAAGGATGAAACCAAAAGACATTGTGGATAATTAGCATAACCTGGGTGACAGAAGCTGAAAACGACTCTTAGGCTGGTTTTTACCACCCAGGAGCTCCAGAAGGGGAGGATATCTTTATGTTTTGTGGCAGTTCCTAGACCAAGAATACATCAAGTACCATTTTGTGTTATGGGCTTTGTTACGGGGGCTATGTTTATTCCAGAATTCATGAAAGTGAGGCACAGACGAAGGACTCTCACAGAACTTGTCTGTGGCATGTAATTTAGCCCTAGCCGATCATGGTGACTTGGGGCACATGTCCTTGTGCTGCGGGAAGCCTTTTCTCATTCCAGAGCACCAGAGCCCCCTATGGGGAAGAACCCTATCACCGTGGTACTCCCTGAACCAGTGCACTGCCCTGGGAAGCACAGCACATGCCATGGAAGCGGTGATGGATGAGTACCAGGGGAGACTGTACTGGCAGTGGAGATGGCTATGCTTGGGGCAGACAGTGACAGCTGATGCACTGCCTACATTTCCCGCTGATAGAGTCCATTTTTTTTTTTTTTTTTTTTTTTTTTTTTTTAGATAATGGAAGACGCTTACTTCTCCTTTTCCTTTCTCTAGCTGAGCAATTTATTTGCTTGTTAGCACCTCCAGGGCAAAGAGGAGGAAGTGAAACTCAGATCCCTCCCATTTGTTTTTTCAGCAGTTTTGACAAAGGTCTTGATGGGGTAGATCATCAACATGGAGATCCTGGCTAACATGAGATTTTGATGTGGCTTGCGGATTCTAGTGCTATATGTAACTGAGAATTCACTGTATGTACATGAACCAAAGGCAAGAAGTAGGAGATCATATTCTCATTTTGAGTTCAAGAGATGTCAGTTTTTATCCCCTTCTCCCCCATTTAGGAGAAGCTAGTGAGTTAACTTGTTCAGAGTCCACTGTAGGTAGTTGGATGTGGTGAAGCTTGCCTTTTCAACCCATGATAGAAAGACAGTATCCCATATCCCTGTAGTTAGAACCCAATTTTCTCTGCTAATTGGGCTGGTCAGGCAATTAACTGAAGTCTTCATGATTTTCTTAAAGACCTTTTATGAGATTTACAACATCTGACAAGCACAAGGAACAGCAGCCCCATTTTCTTAGTTTTCTGGTCTATTAGGGAGAGAACTGATACAGTAGGCACTTGTGTGATAGCTCGAAATTCACAAAACCACTGCAGTATGTAATTTCTCCCTTAAAATGGGGTAAATTTAAAAATGTTACAGTGCCGGGTGTTGACTTTGTTTTGGGGGTCATTTCCCGCAAACCAGCACATTTTTATTACTTCAAGAGAAGCAATAAACTGAGGGACTCCTTCCATCAGGGCAGATGGTTCATATGATGTCCCACAAAATGGCCAATAACCGTAAGTATGGACTCGTCCCAAATCATTTGGGAAACACTCCTGCCTAAAGAGAGGCTAGGGGAGATGGGTGGGGGCTTGCACAATCTTTCAGGTCTTAGCTGTTAATGGGTCTCTAAGTTCTTAGGATGCCTGTCTTCACAAGAACGTTTCCTGCCATCAGAGGCTTCCAGATGTAGCTGGAAAAACCTAGGTTTTGCTAGTGGTGGAGAAGAAATCTGGGATTTATTGGTAAGTCAGGAAGTTCGACTAGATTATTATTGACCCCGAGTGGGGTCCCTATGCCGGCAGCATCAGCATCCCCTGGGAACTTGACAGAAATGCCAACTCTCAGGTATCCAGACTTACTGTATCAGAAACCCAGCAATCTGCATTTTAAACACCTAGGTTATTTGGATGCACACTCAAGTTTGGGAATCACCGGACTAGATAACTAGAATCCCTTTCCACCTTGAGATCCTAACTGTGGGGGAATATTCTTAGCTTTAAGGTTCAAATTATGGTGTCTAACTATGATGGTAAAGAATGAGAGGTCATCTTACAGTACTGCAAGCACAAGACAAGTTTTCTTAATAATACATATTTTATAGACATATATTTATATGCATGAACAAACATATGCTCATTTTGGAGAATTCAGGAAATATGAAAAATTTAAAAATCACCTAGGGGAAATTGCTGTTAATTTTGGGGTGTATTTTTTTTCAATTTGTTTGTATGCTTGTATGTTTTTAGCAAATTGAAATCAGTTTCTTAATCTGTTTTCACTTATCATTATTTTACAAGCATTTCTGATATCATTAAATATTCATTAAATACGGTTTTCAGTGGCTGAAAATTATTCTATTTGATGAATCTCACTCACCTAGTTTTAATGTTTTCCTTAAATGTTGGGCTTCCCCACCCCCCACCCCTGTTTTTTTTGTTTTTGTTTTTTGTTTTTTTTACTGATAACCTGTATTTTACTTAAAATATATTCCTAAAAGAGTAATTGGGGGAAAAAAGGGTCAAAGGAAATGAACTGGACCAAACGCTTTCCAGAATGCTTTCCAGTTTATACTCTTATCTTACTCCTTGAGTGTGCTGGCCACACCACATCTCGACAGCAATGAATATTATCTTAAAAAAAACAACAACAAATTGTTCTCCTTTGACAACTGAAACATGGCATGGTTTTCTCACTGTTTCAAGGTGAAATCTTTCCTCCTTTTTTCTTAACTTATGATACTAAATTTTTAAAAACATCTTTTTAACGTTTATTTTTGACACAGAGAGAGAGGGAGAGAGAGAGAGAGAGAGAGCGCGCGCGCGCGCGCCAGCATGAGTGGGGGAGGGGCAGAGAGAGAGGGAGACACAGAATCCGAAGCAGTCTCCAGGCTCTGAGCAGTCAGCACAGAGATGGACGTGGGGCTCGAACTCACAGACCGCGAGATCAAGACCTGAGCCGAAGTCAGCCGCTCAGCCCACTGAGCCACCCAGGCGCCCAACAATACTAAATATTATTTCACAGCTTTGTTAGCCCATGGTATTACTTCTGTGAGCTGTCTGTTCACTATTGCATTGTTAGCATTTCCTCCTGGTTTCTAAGAGCTCTTTAGACATTATGGGAATTCACCTGCTCTCTGAGGTAGCCATTTAAAAAAGATCTTGTCCTTAGCCTTTAACATTTCTACACGAAGAGGCGTCTGGATAGCTTAGTTGGTTGAGCGTCTGACCCTTGATTTCAGCTTGGGTCATGATCCCAGCATCGTGGGATTGAGCCCTGGGTTGGGCTCTGCACTGAGTGTGGAGCCTGCTTCAGATTCTCTCTCTCTCTTTGTCCCTCTCCCTCACTGCATGCTCTCTCTCTCTCTAAAATAAAAATTAAAAATAATAAAATTTCTA